GTCAGCTGGAGTTAATGGATAGATAGTGGAAAGAAAAAGAAGACGCTTTTGATTAGGTTCAATTGGACATGGGGAAATAGTTGCCACTATCTCTTCGGCTGTTGTTGACGGTGATCCAAAAGCGCGCAAAAGAATTCAAGGACATCGAACACCTTAAAAGTATTAGGTGACTTATGTAGCCATTTTAGAGACTCTTTAGATTATTATGATCAAGTCTTTAAATGTTTTGCTACGACGAAGCGCTTCGACGACGATTTTGAGAGCATGCTTATGGAAGCTTAACACATATCCTGTGGGAGGAGTTTGGCGTGGAACAGTACCTCGGGCATTTTTTTGCTGTACATCAAAACTATTCAAGGCTGATGAGGATCCAGTTGAGTATCCGTTAGAGGTGCGTAAGATCAGAAATTTCTTCACAGTGGGGAAAGAAATAGCATTTAGAAATTCCCGACCAACATTCAAAAATATTCCGCCATATTGGCGAGTCCGCGAAATGTCAGTTGTTACATTATTTGAGCAGAATCACAATTGGCTATTTTTCGTTCCAAAAGTTTTATTCCACGTTGTACTTTGCTGGGATCATGTCGAATACCGGGTTAGAAGAGAAAGTAGAAAAAATGAATGTTGAAGAAAGGGAGGCTAAAGGTCAGAAAGGCGGCAAAAAGACTAAAGGAGAGACAAGGAAGAAGGAAGATCTTAGCGCCTTTCCACTTGAAGTAAGTGAGTTGATGATCATTTACGCTCGATTGCATGTTTGTGTCACTCCCAGTAATTTGAGTTTAATATTCCAAGTTTTTGGTAGAAATGGCTTATTGACCTTTTCCACTGTGCTCCCTGCTCTGTTAGGCATGTCTCACGAAAAGCCTCATCACTAATTTTTCCAGGCCAAGGGCAAAACTAAGAGTAGTGCTTGCTTATTCGTCGTCACGTGCGACGAGCTGGAATTAAAGAATATTGAGCTTAAACTTAAGCTTATCATCGTTGAACATCATTGAATCTCTGAAAAAATCGGAAAGATCGCCAAACAGCCACATGATTTATTATATATGCAGCAATTTCATACTAATAATACAAATAATGATTATGAATGGCGTAAAATCTACAAATCTATAATTTGCATCAGGTCAAGGTCCTGATGCAATGTTTTGATCTTTTACAGCAGATAATTGATGTACACTGTAGTTCCAGAATAGTATTTGCAAAATGTCTGGAAGGGATGACTCTAACAGGGAGGGTACAATTTGCGAAGAGGCTTATATAATTTTGGGGGGTTAAATTTTGAAAATGCACAAAATGTAGAGGGGGAGGGGTTCGAAAGTATTTTAATGTACAAGACTGGCATTCTATGTAGGAGTAGGGTCTGGTAGGGGTTGTCTTCATCTCGAATCACGCGTTAAATTTCCGTACATTCACGAATCACTTTACCTTTTGGAGTCGTTTCACAAATCATGTGATTAGGTGATGAACTGATCAAGTCCATCAATGATTCTTAGTGGTTGCTGGACTACTGCAGTGAAACCTCTATTAAGTGGACCCCCAATTAAGTGTACACCCTCTATTAAGCAGACACCGGGCCCTGAAATTAAAAAAAAAGATGCGGATAATAAAATAAATTGTATTTGGCTGAATTTCTATTGTTAAAACTTCCATTGAGCAGACACCGGACTGAATTGACAATAGTAGCATTGGATTACGTCCTTAAAATACGTACTGTAGTCGATTAATAAAGATAAATCAGTACATTTAGCTGTCAGAAGTTCACCTAAAAGTCTTGCACAAAGTACAGCACAGCTTCCTTAGCATCCTTAGCTTCCTTAACAGCATAAAACTTTATCACAGCACAGAGTAAAATTAAGCGGACTCCCTCTATTAAGTGGACACTTGGAAATGACACTTAAACAACCCTGTGATAGGAAGGAAACAAAAAGTCTGGTAATCAAACTTGCATTTCTTTACTTTGTGTTTGATGAAGTTACAAAGTTGACTGGTAATGAATTATATTTCTATAAAACTGAAGCTCAACAATTTTTCACTCTTACTTGGTCAACCTCGAACCCCTGTCATGACACTTACATCATGTTTTATCGGTAGAAATATTGATTTGTGAACTACAATGTTAACAGATCACACATCACAGTGAATGTATAATTCACGAATATTGACTGTATTTCATGAGTTTTCCTTATTCACGCTGTGGTTATCCAGACCCCATAGAAGTTGTCAAACTATATTATGATTGAAGGAAATCCATGTTTCCTTCAAGAGTAGTAAAAAAAATTTGCACCTGTAGTTTTTCGACTGTATACAGTACTGTTCAAAAGTGAGTGGACAGTCGGTTGTTCTTGATTCTTGATTCCTGTGCAAATCGAGAATCGAGAACAAGCTATTGAGAATCGAGTCAAGGTTTGAGTCTCAAAAGACAGAAAACAAAAGATTCACCCACGACTGATGTCTCGATAATTTTTTGAAGACATACAGCTGTAACACAACACAGCATGGTTTATTCATGCACAAACTGTCTTTATGTTCGAAACAAGACCAATTCAAGTTTTAAAGTGAATGTTTCTTCAAGGACATCTGTATCAAGCTTCATTTCCTCAAGTACAGTTTCAAATGTTTGCTCCAAATGCAAACAAACAGTGTATACTCGTGTACAAACAAGAAGATAAACAACAGCATGTTTTTTTTAACGTCAAACGAGTCTGGGCTTATCTGGCTGCTTAGCATGATAAAGATCAGCTGTGACATACATGTCTGTCTGAAACCTGACTAATCTTTGGCTCTGAAATTGCATTTGTGATCTTTGAAAACTTTCGAGAAACAATACTTTTAATTATACTAGGAAATATAGTGCATCATTTAATCATCGTCATCTCTTATAAAATTGGGTTTGTTTTTTCGGTGATGAAACATGATATGCATAGACTTCTTTGTGGCCTAGCATGTGACTGCAACTACCACTGTGATGAAAAATTGCGCGATGTTAATTTCAAAAGCGAGACTGTATATTGTTTAAAAACTTTTGGAGGTTTCTGAAGTTTTCTGAAGCTTTATATGTATAGTCAAATCGAAAACTTTTATGTATGCAGTTATGTCTCAAAAAAGCGAAGGCTGCCTGAGATGCTATCGCGTATTGGGAAAATAGCAAATCAGGTGAAATTACAAGTAAAGTTTCCAGTGAAAAAAACACCCTGACTGTAGTCACCAATGAGAGACATTCAACTGTGATAATGCCGATGGACGTTCACAAACAGGCAATAGAAAAAAGAAATTGGCAAGTAGAATTCGAAAGACAAGCTGAAGAACAAAAGCAACGAGAAGCACCCTTGAGACTTTGTTTATACAAGCTTCCTTTTATTTTGGATTTTACAGATAAAAAGTTATGGATTGCTTTTAAGTTCAACTTGTGAACTGACAACTTCTGCTATTTAAATTATGCAAAATGCCATTTGAACTTTTTTAAGGTTTTGACGCAAAGTATCACCCAAACTGTGCAAATGAATTCAACTGCAACTGTTTCTTGAATTTGCAGAGTTCAGGAATTTCTTGCAATAATCAAATGCTAAGAAGAGTTTGTTATTTTATAGAGTAGAAAGATTTTTTCTGAAGTGAGAGAAATGAGAGAAGATCACTCAAAACTTGAACAAAGGTTGTAGATTCTTGCTACAATCGAGTATCAAGAGTAGAGAGCAAATTACTTGAAACTTAACAAAGGCTGTTCCGGGTTTGGTGAGTCTCGCAGGAATCGAGAATCAAGACACAGCAATAGAAAATCGATTCTCGACTCAATTTTCAATTCTGAATTGAGTGTCAACTTACTTTTGAATGGTACTGTACATAAGTAGAATTATTGAGCCCACTCTGGTGAATTGCACAAAACCCCCGGGGGTTACTAAAAATGGCCTGTGGAAAACACAGGAGATGACATTTCCAAGACCCTAAATTTAAGGATTTTCTTGGTATCATGCCCCTAGACCCTCCAAGATATGGGGCACTTTTGGCACTCTTACTTTTCTTCCCATGCATACACCTTCAAAATCTCACACTATTCCCCTGGCATCAAGTATCTTGAAAAAAACAAATTATCTGAAAACTTGGTCTAGAAGGGGTTTTGGGGGGAGGGGGTGCATTTTAAATATTGTTATTGCCAATGAGGGTTTTAAAATTATTTGGGGGGCTAAAGTTTTGATGCACCACACTTTTCTGAAAACCCTTGCCCCCCACCCCCCCTGGGAAGTAATAAACGATTGTTCCCTAAGGCTTTTTCAATACACCTCATCATTAATTTACTGAAGTTGCACATTACATATTGTAAGTGTGATGTGAAACATTATGATCTTTATGTTGTATCCTAGCCCGTTGATGTGAAATACAAACACCACTTACAAACACAAATGAGTTTTTAGGATGAGAAGATTTCTATGCCCTCTCCAGCTATAACTGAAAAAACTTTGTGTCATTTAAAATGTAATTAACACTTCATCTATCACTGAACTTCATTTGATTGATATACTTTTGCGGATATTCTAATATGCATAAAATTATGTTGTATTTTAGTTGAATCCACGACCAGCCTTCATAGAAGAAAGAATAGTTTTATTTGACAAACTAAAGGCACAGTATGATGCACAAATTGAAGGTACTTGTAGCATGTCATATTTTTCTTTTAGTCTGGTATTTAAGAGATTTTTTTATGCACGATGAATAAATTGATAGACCCTACACAGGGTGCAAAGAAAGTCATTTTTACAGCTTGCCATTAGCGCAAGCTGAAGCTAGCATTTACTTGTCCAAATGTCATTTCAACTAGCCCCCCAAATTTTTTGATGAGCAGAATTGATTTCACAGTTCTTCTGTAAGTTGAATTCCTCAAAAAAAGCCACTTGCCCATCGGGCAAGTTAAGAACAGAATTCACTAGCCCGATAGCAAAATCCACCAGCCCCGGGCTATTGGACACTACTTTCTTTGCACGCTACTACATTGGATATTATCCCAGGGATAGCCTTAGGTAATAGCTGGTTACTGGCTAATTTTACCAGCTGAAAAAGACCTTGCCACTACCGCAAATTTCTCTCAAAAACAAAGACATGAGGTGCAGTTGACTGAAAAGTTGGCTTGACCAATAAAAAAACCTGCTTAATGATCTTTTCGTCAGCTACATCCCTGTTTTCCCTAGAAACTCTCTAAATCTACTGAACACTGCTTTATCTGGCATCCATAACTATCCTCAACAGCTCAAAATGTAAAATGAAATCCAACTCGGTGTAGAGAAATGTTTACTAACTTTTTACCTAATTCTGACTTCTTGCTAAGACCAGGCACAAAAGGTAGTAATTTATTAGAACATGTGACAAACTACAAGATCTTAAGAGTTTTTGTAGGGTGTGAAAACAGGCAACATTTGGTGATGCCACCAATGGTTTCCCCGTGAAATGACGTCTCAGAAACGAGCATAGAAATTCCTTACTGATAACGCTTCACTACCCAGATTTGTTGCGCTGCTTGTGAAACTTGCTTCAACCAAGTATGGAATTTCTGTGCTTGTTTCTCAGATGTCATTTCGCGGTTAAACTGTTGGTGGGTCGTGAAATGTCATCTGTTTTCTCAAGCTAGAGTTTTTAAGGACAGTGACCTCAAGTGGAATTGCCATGTCAAATGCAAATGTTGTTCATTTTTTATAAACTATTATCATGATGTTGATGAGGGTGATAATGATGACAAGGATGAAAGTGCTGATGGTGGTGTTGGTAGTGATTTTAACATTGAAAAATTTTCAATATTTTCATGAAATAATATTAATTTTTAATACAGTATTAGTATTATATTTGTATTTGTATTTTATTTATTTGCCACGCAGATAATACTACAAGAACAAAAAAGACTCAAAAATAGCAGAAAAAATTGCAAGGAGGCCTAAAGGAAACTTTTTAGCTTATGTTAATTGGGCCTCCTCAATTTCAATTTTTCATTTTTTTGTTATTTAATGACAAATAATTTCATTTAATTTTAAAATGTCTTTTTTCTTTACAGCCAAAGAGAAAACACCCATCAAAATCACTCTGCGTGATGGTAAAGTCGTAGATGGTCTGGCTTGGAAGACTACACCTTATGAAATTGCTGCCTCAATAAGGTATGGATGTGAATTTTTTTAACCATGATCATTTCTCACAGGAAGCCATGAGGAATATAAAAATAATTATTTATAATACATGTATCACAACATCAACTGAATATGATTTTTACAGTGATATTTTTACTGTAAATATCAGTAAGTTAATATCTGGAAATCTACTTAACTTTCCCTTATGTCTCTATTCCTTTTGTTAGCCAAGGTCTTGCTGATAACACTGTTATTTGTAAGGTTAGTGGTGAGTTTGTTTGTTAGTTTTGTGTTATAAAACAATTTCATTGCAATACTAACAAGAACTTAGAACTTACATATGTCACATTTACTAGTTAAGCTACTGTCTTTCCGAAAATGTCTAGGAAGCTGAATAATCTGATAAGTAAATTGCTAAAATGTATGGTACTGGCTGACTTTGTTTAAATACATTGTATACTTTTCTGTCATTTTTTAGGTCAATGGTGAAGTATTTGACTTGGACAGAGTACTTGAAGGAGATTGTTCCTTAGAATTCCTGAATTTTAATGATGACGAAGGTAACTTATTTTTGTTTTTGAATGATGCCAATCTTTATATGGCCTAAAATTAATCATCTCTGCTGCACCTAGTTTGATTGGATGTGCATCATTCCGCAGAATGGAATGTTACATGTTTGACTCCCAGTTGAACCACTGTACACTCAGTATCAACATCGTCAAGTGTCAGCACTTTTGTCTGCTGTTGTATGGCATAATTCTGTAAGCAGAGGTGTCAGTAGAAGTTGAAGTGGCCAGCAGGTGTGAATAGAGTAACCGACTGTATCAACCAGTAGACCCCTACAGTGTTCCAGATAAGAGATGGTTCAATGACCCGACAAAGCTGGCTTCCTGACCCAACAGAGTTAAATATAACAAAAAAATTAACACATGGTCTTGGTGACCTGTCGGATGGTCTACATGACCCCCCGCTTGAAAGAATTAACTGAAACGCTGCCCCTTCTTCTATATCAAAACCTGAAAATTGGATTTCAAGTTTTGTAGGTACTAAAATTATTGAGTACAAAAGGTAAAGGAAGATTTCTCCTCATAAGCAGCAATTGTTTTTGGTAATTATATGATACTGATCATCAATGGGGGTGGAGCGGGAGGGGGAGGGAGGGGGGAGTCTTAAGTCTGGGTGTACTGAGTACAGTTAGGGTTAGCATTTTTTTTCCGAGTATTGCACGCATATATTGTATAGCTTTAATAAGTCTTATTAAGTCCCAATTTATAGCACATGTCATTCTTCGTTTCAGCTAAAGCTGTATTTTGGCATTCAAGTGCACATATTATGGGTGAAGCTATGGAGAGGCATTATGGAGGTCACCTGTGTTATGGACCTCCAATAGAAGAGGGCTATTACTATGACATGTTCTGCGAGGGAAGGTTTGTGTCCATTATTTAATGTATTATTTTTCTGTATTAAAGGATTTAAAGGCAAGATCTCTTCAGTCGTTTCCTGTCGCACATACTAATGGTGCTTCAGTTACATGTACATACATTTTATATAAAAGACAGGAGCTGCAATCTACACAAATTTTGATTCAGTCATACACGTACAACTGTACACGTACCGGCTGATCAATTCACGCATTAACTTATTTGATAAAAGGAATTGTGTGAAGTTATGTAGTTTGGTTGTCAGGCTTCACCAGGTATTCTGCTTTCAGTTTGATATCTTTCATTCAATTTCAACTCAGTGTTGGCTCAAGGAAAACTTCTAAAAACATCTTAATTAAACCTTCTGTATAGAGCATCTGCAAATTAGTGCACAATAATTGCGTTCGAATCCTGCAGAGTTGCAAAGACATAGTCAGCGTTTTTGATTGGCTAGTTTCTTACACAGTTTGTGATTAATCTGATTTGAATTAAGTGTTGACAGGCCAAACACGACTAAAAGCTTGTGACAAGAGAGATTGAGCTTGTGATATTGTAAAACGTGACCTAGAGTCAGCTTGAACAACAGAGGTTTCCTTGCTCTCTTTTTGCGTGGTCTGTTTTGCATGGTCTGTTCCATGCATATTGAGTAATTAGTTCCTGTGGTTTATGTTTCGGCAAATGTTTTTTGACAGGTTTTGATCACAGATGCAGTTTACCATTAAATGATTTTCTTTTACCTTTGTTTAAGCCTTAAGCTTTTTTGAGGAGGTTGCTAAATAACCTCAGTTTCTTTGGTTTTCTCTGAAATGCCTGGACCTGAATAGTTACATGTGTGTAGTTTTTTTGGCCATGAACATCATGATTTCCCGATTTGTTTTGACGCTAGAACTGCGAGGCTAGATTGCGGAATACTATATGGCAGAGCATCTGCAGCAATTGGAAGACGCTGGAAAACCAGTCGGCAAATTTACAAGCAAATTCTGGCCTTGAAGGAATTCTCTCAAAGCGTTTTTTTGTTCAGAAGAAGGCTTTAAAGTTCGAACTGCTGTTACATTGTTTACAGTGAATGATCCTTGCTAACTCCCCTCTGTGAATTTTGACATGTCACTGAGCCCAATTGTCACAAACACGTAAGAATTAGGCCAATCGTGAGGCACATAAGAAACCTGCCTATCAGAAACGCTCACATATGTCCTTGCGACTCTGCAGGATATTAGAACGAGCTTTTGTGCACTAATCTGCAGACGGGCTATATGGTTTTGACGAGTGCGCGGGCCGGCTGCAATGCAGGCAAGGTTATTGAGTGTTGAGAGTAAAGAAATATACATTGTATATTATCCCAGGTGTGTTAGCTTTAGTTTAGTTTTGTATTTATTGTTTAAGAGAAACATACTTTTTGCATTTGGATCATTGTTTCAATTATTTCTGGAGAAAGATGTCGCTAAAATTGCTGCTTTCTGTCTTGCCGTATGGAACAGACAGGTGTCTTCTAATGACTACCCATCTCTGGACAGTCTGACAAAATCCATTGTAAAGGAAAAACAGCCATTTGTCAGACTTGTGATGACAAAGGAAGAACTTTTAGAGATGTTTAAGGTAATCCTACTGCCTATGAGGGCCACATTTGCTTCTGATTTAGCCATATTTACCTCCCTTGCACCTTCATGCAGTGTAATATTATTGAGGACGTGTAGTAGAAGTAGATTAATTTGTTTTCTCTACTTGAATGTTCAAGTCCTCAAGTAGCAGCTCCATTATTTAGCTTCATTAACCATTTAAGTTTCAAACTTGACCAACATCTATGTTCTTCTAACAATGTACATAAATCATCAAGAGAAAAGGTTATGAGTAGTAATAAAATGATCGCCAAATGGAAACTGCTTTAAGACGGAATCCATCAGGAAACTGAGTAATTTTAATTCTCAGTGGACGAAAATCTTGTACCAGAATAATTTAAAGAATGTTGCGTTCTTTTATACATTTTCATGGCCTAAATATGTAATAAGTCTTCTGTAATAACACCAAAGAAAATTTTTCATGGGAGTCTGAGAAAATGAATGTCAAATTTCACAAGAATAAGATGCAATTTTGTGAGATTGGATATTCATTTTCTTGGGTTTCTGTACAGATGACTAATCACATCTTTAGCCCTTGAAAAATGTATAAAAGAATGCAATAATGCTTTAAAATATTCTGGTACAAGGTTTTTTCCTGGTGGATTCCATCTTAATCTTTCATCAAATTGTCTGAAAACTCGTCAAGGAAATGTATTGAGATCAGTTTAGAGAGTTTGTATGTGGAATTTGGGGCTTAATTAAGGGATAATAAGCTCTGAAATCAAAGAGGAATCACCCTTTTTACTTCATCAATATTTGCTTGTTATTATTATAAGGTTAAATAATTTCTTGCTGGTGCTGTTGTTATTTTAGTACAATGAATTCAAGTGCAGGATTATACGGCAAAAAATAAATACTCCATCAACAACTGTGTACAGGTGGGTTTATTTCATAGGGTTTAGAACTTGCAGACATCTTAACCTGATCTCGGATATATTAATCCCTATCAAGCTCTTTCATCCATGCGCATTGTTATTAATTTCCATCCTATTTGTACAAAATTATCTTGAAGTAGAACACCTCAAAATGGTACTTTGTTAATCTGAGAAAAAAGAGTAACAGTGTTTTTTTTTTAGGAGGATGGAGAAGACCAATGTGGATAAGAAAAGACAAAAATTAATCAAAACTTAAAAAACTTTGGTTAAGTTTTTTTCTACATGCAAGACAATGCAATGCAAGTTTAATCTTAAAATTTTTCCCGTAACAAAATTAATGTTCTGATATACCATGTCTTTAGAAATTAAAGGGTTCATAAATCTGGCTGCAACTTTCAGCTTTGCAGCCGACATCTTGCCACCATAGTAATAATAAATTATAACTGTATACAAGTATCTTGAATTGGAGAAATTAATCTAATTACGGTAACTTCTTGTTCTTGAAGGTGTGGTCCTTTGATTGATTTGTGCCGAGGACCTCATGTGCGGCACACTGGCAAAATAAAGGCTATGCAAGTCACAAAGGTATGTTTATGATAGTAAGTACCGTAATATAATTTTCATTTTTCCATAGGAATTCTTACACAAGAGAGAAAAAAGCCAAATCTTGACACTAGAGTATTGTATAATGCTACTGTACTACATGTAAATCCCTTTGAATGTCAAAAATGGGTTTTGTTTTTTTATTATCAGAATTCTGCTACATACTGGGAAGGGAACTGTGAGGCAGAGTCTCTTCAGCGGTTGTATGGAATCTCATTTCCAAATGAAAAGCAGGTAAATTACTTGTTAATATATTTTTCCAAATTCTCGTATTGGCAGATCAGACAAGATAATAGTTCTCTTAACCACAGAGTACGGGTTACAAGTGTGATTACTGTGTTTGCATCTACAAGCAATTTATCTGTCAATGTATAGTTTTGTCAACATCATAAGGAACCTTAAGATTTTAAGACGAGGACGACTACGAGTACATGACTTTCTCAATACTACAGCTGTATTGGGCAATTCCAGAAAATATCCATACCCAACCACAGATGGCTTCCATGTTTTAACCCCCCCTTGCCTTCGGAAATTCCGTCTGTCAGTGTGCACGAAAAGTGTTCTAATCTGACAGGCGTTCCTTGGAAGCGAGGGACTGGTGCAAGTTTTTTACTGTTCATCGAACGGGAGTAACAAGAAATTTGCAAGCGGTATTAAAGATACATTTTCAGTTTTTATTCATGTGACAAGAAATTCATCAAGGTAAATGTGAAACCAACGTTTTACTGTTCACTTCATAAGCATGAGCGTAAACACGTGTCTGATCTATCAATGCTTGTCTTCTGCTTCCGCGGTCATACATGCGAGTGGTTTATTTACGAACTACAAAAGTCCACAACAATAGCGTTTTCAAGGAACTCACTCTACACTTTCTACTCCAGAAATCCCACCTGTGGAATTCCCCCTGCCTTTGGATTTCAAATCGTAAATACCCCCCATGCCCTCAGAATTCCATAATCGTGAACCCCCCCTCCCCTTCGGAAATCCTAAAAGCCGTCCGTGGTATAGTATGGATAGTTTCTGGAATCCCCCATTTAGTGCTCACAGGTGACCCAGTGTCATTTTGGCAGGAAAACATGATAGTGGTCATCATTCTACTGCGAGTTTTGATGAGAATATTGTGGTGGTGGAAACAAGTTATCAAATGTTTGAAGTTCTATGTTGCGATCAGAAAAGGGCTGTACCTCCTTATTACGATAACAGTGCTAAATTTTCAGGTGAAACAAAGTACAATGATGCTTTCTGGGGTATCTATAGTTTGACAATATGTGAAAAAACTTTAAATCAAATCTTGTCCTCGAATTTAAAGGTCTCTGTTCTGTCTACTCTGGATGAATTAATTAGCAATGAATGAATGAGGCTGAGTACCGTGTAGCATGAAAATTTTGTGGATTGACCTCCATCTGCAAAAATTAGTTCCCGCAGAAAAAAAAAAACCCACAAAAATTAACTCCCTCCAGTCAAATTAAAAACTCTGCTTTTAATGGACTTGTTGTGTATGGTAGGGATAGGCTTTTGTTTTGTTTTGCTGTTGTTCAGTCCCTTTGTGCAGTAAGATATTACAGTGATTACCGTATTATTCTCCATTACATATGTACGTAGAGTGAACTTTGACTCAACANAGTCAAATTAAAAACTCTGCTTTTAATGGACTTGTTGTGTATGGTAGGGATAGGCTTTTGTTTTGTTTTGCTGTTGTTCAGTCCCTTTGTGCAGTAAGATATTACAGTGATTACCGTATTATTCTCCATTACATATGTACGTAGAGTGAACTTTGACTCAACATACCATAAAATAATAGTTGAAAATACCATATTAAGGTTTCTTCCACTTAAATATTCTGCTACTTGAACAGAGAATCGCAAAAATTGGTTCCCACCAGAA